AAAACTAATGGTTATTATTATTACAAACCAACAAACAAACAAACGAAAGAACGAACGAACGAACAAGAAAAAAGAAGCAAACACCAACTCGAACTGCGCGTCGAGGGCGGCTTGTAGTAGACGAAGGTCTGTGGCGACGACGTCCAACAACACGTTTGCAGCCTTCGAATGTAACAGACTCGTAACCACGGCTAGTGGTGCTGATAATGATCCGGGACTGCAAATATCATCATCATCATTATCGTTAGCCTCCTCGTCGTTATCATCATCACCATCATCGCTTTCATCATCACAATCACCATCATCGCTTTCATCATCATCGCTTTCATCATCATCGCTTTCATCATCATCATCATTACCTTATGTCAGCCTCTCTTTCGCCACTATTATCTAGAACGTACTTGAATATCCTTAAGCATATTGTACCTAAATGGTATCGTCATCATCATCATTATCATTACTATAATTACGATCATCATCATCATCATTACTATAATCATCATCACCATCATCATCACCATCTCACCAATTCGAAAGCGCTCTTCCTCTCCTTTATTACACTTCCACCTACTGAAAGCAGTAAAAACTTCCTGGCTTATAAAAAGTAAGAGTGGAATGAGATCCAGAGTTGATTGGTTGGCTGATTGGTTTGTTGACTGCACGGCTGATTGGTTGGTTGATTGACTCAGGGATTGATTGACCGACTGGCTGATTGGCTGTTGACGTTTTATCTTCGTCTGTAAAAGAAAATCAAGTTTTCCAATCAGCAAATCAATTAATTAATCCATCAGTTATTCAATTATTCGAAAAACAATTCAATAAATAAAAAAAATAATCAATCAATCAATCAATCAACCAGCCACCTGCACCATCTTGAGTACAAAGTTAAGGAAAGCGATGGTGACGTCATAGGAGCACGTGACAACCTCGTGACTCATCAACAGCTGACCAAATCTCCCGCTGTTCAGAGATCTGCGGAGGTCATGATGACGATAAAGATAATGATGATGATGATGATGAAGATAATGAAAATGATGACAACTTTAATAAACATAGACAAAAACATACATAATAAACTTACTTATGAATACACAAACACATAATCATACAAGCACACATACAACTACAC